CCCCAAAACCCCAAAACCCCAAAACCCCGCAATGATGCTTTAATGGAAATCAATGGAAAGTGAAAAAATGTGGAATAATAGAAATATATTAATGATGCTAAAGTTAAAAGTTAAACAATTTCCTCCAATTAATGTATTGTTTAAATAATAATATATTTTTTAATTAACTGAAAATGAGAGAATTATTTGTTCCAACTATAGATTCAAACTAACCCTCACTTCTAATGATTTTATTTTTATTTCAGAGCGATTGCCTAGATTTTGAAATATACTATTACAATTGATTAACCTAAACTTTATTTATCAGCTTCGTTAGGATTGCTTTGTTCAGCGTTTGCTTTTCTTAGTAATGCTAGCTATCTGCTGTTTTGTAAATGCTTGCCGAATTATCTAATTAATTGAATTGAGTTTTTCTCTGATTGGCAGGAGTCTATGATAAGAGAGGCTTGCTAATTTTATCAGAGCTTATATTCTATTGGATAATTGACAATCCTTTTTTCATCAGAATTTCTTATATCTTACTGATATTCAAGTTAGGATTATTTTTCTTTTTTATATTGAATTTATTTATTTCTTTATTTTGTTAAGTCTAATTCACTTAAAGGATCTTATCTGATTATGGTAATGGAGTTTGAGATTTGATCTCTGCATCATTTTTCCTAAGTCCTCTTATGTAGGGATATCTCTACTGAGGAATTTCATACTTTTCTATCAATGGTTTTGTTTTACCTTCCAATATCTCGCTCGTCCTCTATTGATTCTAGATGGAATTTTCAATTTATTTTGAGAGCATAGTTGAGCCTCGCCTCTAGTTTAATATCGCAGGCAAAGAGTTTTTATTTATTGAGTTTTTGTCTAAAGTTCTTAAGTTTAAAAGAATATCTTCATCATTGTTTTCATCGTCATCACTGTCTTTCAAGGACTATGAATGCGACATATAATTCTCAGATAAATCCTCATTTTCAATCAGATTTTAAATTTTCTTATTGTTATTCTCTTCTTTGACTTGCATCGCTTATATTTTCATTTTATAAGCAATTGACTCCTTAAATCTTTGTTAAAAAGATCCCTTCTTTGGAGAGCTAGAAGAATTTTCTTTGCTCTCGTTTAGCTTGAATATGTCAATATCCTCCTATGCTGTGAACGATTTATTAATTGAAGATTCTCAAGATGATTGTTTCTATCGAGAAAATTACGACTGCTATTGTTAACTTTTATTATTAATTCTAAGTTACTCAAAATTTCTCTGTGATGAATTTGCAGAGGAGATGGCTAGTATCTCCAAACTTTTTTCTTATAATTTTAATTTAGACTCGTCATACCTACTTTAGCTGCCTTGAAGAGATAATTTTTGAATTTGTTTATTAGAGTTTTCTAATGGAGAAACAACTGATTTATTAGAAGATTTTAAAATTAGGTGGGATAGAGGTTGATTTTACTGAATATTTTTATTGAATGGTGACAAGTAGGTAGATTTATATTCTTTAATATTTGATACATCACTTACTCTAATCTGAAAATAATCATGATTATTATTTGTTGATAATTGTTTCAATTCTTGTTTCTTAATATTTAATGGGCTTATATTTTATGCACTCCTAACATTTAATGATCTTTATTCCATCTAATCAGTAATTTTAACCTCGAAATTCTCACTATTTTAATTAATGCACTTTTTATTGATCTTGAGGGGACTTGGAGGCTTCATGTATTCCAAATTTCTCGGGTAAGTATGGATCTCAGGCAACTTAGGTGATGCATCATTGTTTTGAGTGTGATTACTATAACTGGGGTCTATAGTTGTATTATTGCTAATTCTTATATTATGCCTACTCATTTGTCCAAAAGATTATTCACTTTGCATATTGGAAGATTTCAGCTGCCTCAGCTGTTTAATCTTTTGTTCAAGTCTTTATTGCAATTCCAAATTATTATTATTCTCTGGCTTTATTTGTTTGTATATATGCTATCTGTTTTTCATTTTTATCCTCTCTAAAATGTCCTCATTGCTAGTTCCCTAGTTGTAGTGACTGATCAGAGGGAGAGATTGTATTTTCTTCTACATTGCTGAAATACTACTATACAAGCTTTCTAAATATTAATAATTTAAATCTAAATAAAAGCTCATTGTAAAAAAGTAAATATTATCAATTGGTATTCAATTATTTTCTTGCATCATGTATTTTTTCACTTTGGGGTTTTGGGGTTTTGGGGTTTTGGGG